TGGCGCGCAAGAGAACCGAAGGTTTTCCATTTAGTTGTAGTCGTAAGTGGCAGTCGAGGGGTGAACTCGTCGAAGCTCGCGTAAGTTTGCTTGCGCAAGGGCGCAATGAATATATAAAAACGCAATCGACGCGTTTGTATAATGGCGGATGGAACAAAAAGGCTGGCGTAGATGGCGCGCCCGATTTGTTCGCCGCTTAATAAGTTTGATAGGGGTGGAGTGGAGCTCGATAAATACGGCGGGGCAGTTTCGACATCTAAATTAATAGAATTGAATTGTCGTAGGTACATATTTAATCGTATCACAGGTATTGTTGCAACCGACCGTTTTCCTCTATTCATTGGATCAATATTGGGCCAACGGTGTTTTCCAATAAACGAAGGTTGTAACGAGGCCGTGGTGGAGCGTTGTTGCGCAAAGCAATCGATGTGAATATACATGTATGAAAATATATATCGTATATAAAGGGTTGCGTTCTTTTGTGAAATTGCATCCTATATGCATATTTTCCTTCCCCACTCGAAAAATTCGGATGAATCGGGCAAATTTTAAATTTCTCTCAAAATGACACTCGCGTTTTGGAAATCCAGTTTGTTACGTCGTCGGTGCCAACAGGCGGATGCCAGGCGTCTCGTCGCGTATTTTATTTTCCACCCCCTACTCGTCCAGCCTCGAATCATAAAAGCATCGCAGTGATATCCTTTGCGATGGAATATATCTCTGCGCGAATAGCTTTTTTCCCCCCCGTTTGTTATTTCCCATGTATCCAAATTTCTGCCACTAGCACCCTCCTATGACATCAAACACGATATAAATACTCGCCAATTCGGGACGCGTGTAGAATGGCGGAAAATATTGTAAAAGGCTATTACAACAATACGCGTTCTTTTTTTTCCTCTGCCCGTAAAATGCAAGTACGTGTTACACTATTTCGTAAAATTTTATTTATTAATATATTGCATTGCAACAATTATCTTAGCTTTTAACCGAACAATCTTTTATAGGGTAATAATCATTATTATATTCCGAGATAAATTATACTTTTAAACGTGTTTTAAAAATATCTAGAAAATTAAATTTCAATATTATAATTATTCGAAAATTTTAAACAATGCCGAGAGTAGCGGTATCCAAAGTATCCAAATCCGCTCTATGCGATCGCAACATCGACATCAAGTTATTTTAATTACTTTTACGGATAATATATAATTATATCTCGACAAGACATATATGAAAGAACCACTGTTCGAATATTCTTCGTCGTTCACTTATTGAAAAAGTAGTTTATAAAGTGTATAAGCAGTGTGATCCCGGTGTTCTAACGGTGTACTTGCTCGCGACGTATCTCGCAACTCCACACGTCACATCGAGAAAAATCGTGTTGAACGTGTGCTCAAGGAACGCCGATGACGCATAAGAAAGTTTTGTAACCGCTTTGCGATTTGCATTCACTTCTCGTTTAATGTATGCCGCCAATCGCGAATGTTTATAATCCCCGTAATCCCCTCTCTCTCTTCTCCCCTTCCCAATTATGCAACTATGAAATGGACAACCGTACCAAGTAATTACCGCGTGTTAGAGAAAGAAAAGTCGTTCCATAAAAATGTGAGGAAAAAACGACTACCACAAAGGTGTAACAATTCGTTCCGCCCGATCGAATCGAAGGGATTTGTAAATTTTCTGAACAGTTTTAGTTGAGGCAGGTGTCGAGAAATGATACAAGAAATTAACCTCGAACTGATGACGTTGCGATGTTTTCAATAGCCGAAGAGAGTAAATCTTTTGGAATTATTTTTAATTGTCGCCGATTAAAATAATATAACGAATCGTGTCAAGGATTTTGAAATTCAATAAAACTAATTTTAACCCGACAAGAAACCCCACATTATTTTCCTCTCCTTTACGCAACATTTAAGAAAATCCAACTTCGATTCCTATCTACTACTACTATACCCAATTATAGATTATTTAAAAAGTTCATCGAAGAGAGAACAAACGATCGACCTAACCTGATCGAAAATCGATCATCCATAACGAAATCATCCATACCTCATCCTCGCTCGCGTCGTCCCGACACTCAGCCTCGAAGCCGCAAAATTAGACTTGTCCTTAGGCGTTCGAGGTTGATTAACAAAGCAGCCGAATGACGCTTGTCGACGCGGATTATTCCGCGAGGCGGAAAAGGCGGGGAGGAGAGACTCCCCGTGTATCGTAGCGGGGAACGGAAAGAGAGAGTGTTTCGAAACACGAGGATTTTCCATTGGCTCGAGGTTGCTCGAAGCGAGATTAACGGGCGCCACGGTCGGGAAAGTCGTCCGATAATTCTTCGTCGAAAGGCTTCCGCCTGCGGCGTTTATCGCGCGCTCCGGAAATAATTAAATTTCCAAAACTAATTACGCCTCGTTGCAATTACAACTCCCGCGACATTCATCCGTGAACGGCGGGTACACGACACACCCTCGCGCCTCGGCTTAAATCGTTTCCAACCGCCGGCCCACCCCTCTTTCAACCCCCTTCTTTCCAAATTTACCCCGCTCGGACACGGAGGATTGGCCGCCCCGCGTTTCCAAACCTTTGTCCCATCGATAAAATTCCCGATAAATATCGAACATGAAACAGGAGTTAAAAATTCCCAACGATCGATTCTTCGATGAAAACTACGTTTCCATTTAATTTCTAACGTACGTGCACTTTTTTCAAATTGTATCATTATAAGTATTTCCCCGTTTCTATTTCATTCACGCTTTCTATTAAATTGTGCTCGAGATGTTTTATATCTCTCTATCGAAACCTGTCTACATCCATATACATGCTTAAAATATTGTATCTTTAAAAATACGACAAATTAGAATACACAAAAACGTACGATTTTCTTATAACGATTCTTAACCATTATATATTATTTACTTATAAATAAATAAGAACAAAAATAAGACAATTTTCAAATCGAAATTTCTAAAAATATTCCAAAATAAAATTATCGTCGGATTCTCTTCGAAAGAAAAAAAAAAAAAATAGGATTAATAGATATAGTATCGATTATAATCACGATATCGATAATCGAGTCACACTTCCTGTTTTCCTCGATTTTCGAAACGGAGAGAACGGAGAAGTGCCTTCGTCGGAAATTAGGGCTGGAAGGAGGGTTGAAAGAAGGGCTTGTTGAATCGAGGTAGTTTCGAGAGTTTCGCGATATCGCGGCCTCCTTTGATATGGTAATGGGGTTTCGAACCGCGGCCGGGACACGATCCGAGCTTTTCCTTTCTTCGGAACTTGCCGTTTCCCCGGCCGGGATTGTTGAACGGGCGTGCTCGAGAGAGAAGTGGGGGGAGAGGATTCGATTGAACGTGTTTGCGAACATCGTGACGGAGCCTACTTCGTCAGGCTCTGATTAATGCCGCGACACGATTTCCATCCGTACAACTGAATGGAATTTCTTAAGCGTTCGATGCGTGGTAACGGTATCCAGGTCAGCCGTGAAATTTATTTAATTCCAACGTACACCACTTTTCCTCGAGCTAGCGATAATTATTCGAGGTGAGAGAATTTTCACGGTTTCGTTGGCTCCGATCGTATCGTTGTTATTGATATTTTTTTAATTATCCTTCACGAACGAAAAAGAATTTAT